CCCCGGAGATATTCAAGGAGAGGCTCGATGAGGCCCTGGGCAACCTGGTCTAGTTGGGGGTGTCCCTGCTGACTGCGGGGGGGTCGGACTCGATGACCCTGAAGGTCTCTTCAGACCCAGATGATTCAATGAAAGTGTGGTGCAATCATTTCTATACCGTGCCACCGTCTGGCTCTGCTGCCACTATGTAAGTTCTTTACTGTGAGGGTGGTGGAGCACTGGAACAGGTTGCCAAGGGAGGTGGTTGAGGCCCCATCCCTGGAGATATTCCAGGTGAGGCTCAATGAGGCCCTGGGCAACCTGGTCTAGTTGGGGGTGTCCCTGCTGACTGCAGGGGGGTCAGACTAGATGGCCTTGAAGGTCCCTTCCGACCCAGATGATACTATGAAAGTGTGGTGCAATCATTTCTATACCGTGCCGCCGTCTGGCTCTGCTGCCACTATGAGCTTCTTGAACACAACCCCCTTTTTTTTTCCCTTTTTGCCTGCGGAAGTCTGGCTCTCCCAGTGAGCTCACCCGCAACAAAAGCTCCTTGGAGCCTTGTTCAGCTCCAGCCAGGGCCTACCTAACAACGGCTCCTTTCCTGTCATTCTCTCGCCTACTAGACATAGCAGCCTTATGAGTATTTGGGTGGGGAAGGAAGGAGATTGCAACATCCATTAAGAAGGAAAAAAAAAAAAAAGAAAAAGAAAAAAAAAAAAAGGAAGGCTTGTCTGTCTCTCGCTTTTCAAGTGCAGCTGTAAAACTTTCCTTGGCCTTTGAAAACTGAGCTCTGCCATGTAGTGGGTGCGAGCTGTGGAATACGTCAGCCTTTGAAGTTAGGCCTTTAAATAGGCAATTGCAAATGGCATCCAAATTTAAGCTTGTGTAGCAGTTTTGCTGCAAGCTGGAATAAGCCACTTATTCTGCCAGCGCACTGTGGCTGGTGAGGCAAAGTTACAAATACCCACACCTCTGTATGTCTTTCCCAGCCATGGTCACCCTGGTGACAATAGATCTGAATCTCTAGAAATGTAGTTGTATCATGAGCCTCATGTTGAAACCAACTTTATATTTCCTTGCAAGGCTTCGGTCTTCTGTTTTACCAGAAAACTGTGCCGGCTGTGACTGAACACTGCTGTGTTCACAGGGTTGCAGCCACAGAGAAGCAAACCTGTCCTGAAGTGGCTGAATAAGAGTGGCTGAAAGGCAACTGTCTCCTGGTTTTTGTTCGTTTATTTGCAGGGAAAAAACAGGCCACACAAGAGAAGGCAACTAAGAGCCCCAAAGCATTTATTTTCTCATTTGTAGTGTGTTGAGTGCTTAGAGACTACCTGCCACTTGGTACAATGCGGCACTTCATAGTTCTTAATCTATAGGCATTACTTTTCTACAGAGGTATATTGTTCTTATTTTTAATGCTGGGGACAGGGATAAAAGCTTTGTTTGCGCAAGGAGTTGAATTAATGGGTAGAGCTGCACATAGGGTTTCTTTCTATCCTAATCTACTGTAAGATGATCTGAACAGGCACGGTGAGTTTGAAGCAAGTTGTGCTGCCCCAGCAAGAACATGTCTACCCCTTGGGTATTTGCACTGCATATCTTTATGTATCTACCTAATTTCCCCTGATCCACCATTGAGAAGTAGCCTTGTTACTTTACCTGCACATAGTTGGATGTCCTCGGAGAAGTGCAAAGTAGAGATGAGAAAGTAAATTGGCTTGTATTGCTTTGCTGGTGCCTTCTTGTCAATTTATTGACAGCGAAGTTTCCAGTATATTCCCAGTGGGAGAGAAATTCAATCCAGAAAAGGGAAAACATCACTTAATTTTCAACAATACTTAGTTACATTCCAGAATTTGCACAGCTCTCTTGGGAAATAGCTTTCCTGTATCCATTGTCTTAATGTAGTGCCTTTCCTAATCATCCTTTGTCACCTCCAAGCTTCTGGAAAAGTGAGTGTTTCCCAGGGTGTAGGTGGAGGGAGAAGAGCTTGCGCGTTGCTGCCTAGCTTCTCATTGTGATGTTGTGTTAATCAAGTTAATCAAGAGCAGTGACTCATAGAAAATGAAGACTGGATAATTCAAGTGATTATTTATCACTTCTGTGGTCTACAGGATTATTTCCTGCTGGAGAAAATAGCCCAAGGCACTTGCCTGCTACAGAACACATCTTTGTATTTATTTTAAATTTTTCCTTTCTGTAACTCAAAGGTAAAAAGCTTAAGAAATTCTCTCCCTCCATATTATTACTTCTTTGTAATCTACCGTGTAACTCCGATTAACTCAGAGGTTGCAGAGGTAGAGCCAGATTTCAGCTCCAGCTCTGCCTCTAGAAGCAAAGTCCCACTTTGTTCTAGAGCAAAAGGGGAATCAATCCCTTCGTTGGACTGTCATAAATGCCCCCTGTTCCTCCCATGCTGCTCCCAAGCCTTGTCCCTGAACCTGACACAGCAACAGAAACACCTTACTCCAGAGCCTGAAGAAGCATCTTAATCCTTATAAAGGCACAGGTGTGGGGTGTGGGGTTGCTTTTTGTTCTGCTTTTATCATCTTCTAGCAATTTGTTCTTTCCAACTCAAATGGATACTCGCCTGCTGAACTGAAGTTAGGTACTTCAAAGCATGAAATACCAGTTATCGTTCTTTGGTCAAAACTTAGGCACTGTAAGCTCCTGGGCCTTTGAAAAGGGATGTTGTGTTTGCTGCAGGAGGTGCTTCTGCTGTGACTGCTGTCTCTTGTGCTGCCACTTTTGGCCTTTGAAAAGGGGTGCTGTGTTTGCTATCAGTGTACTTACCTGTAAAGTGTTAATCTTTCCGGCTTTTTTTTTGTTTTCCCCCCTCATAGGATGATGAGAGTCTGAAACACTTAACTCACGAAGAGCAGAATGTTCTCATGTTCTTTGAGGAAACCATAGATGCCTTAGAAGATGACTTGGAGGAGCCGGTCCTACATGACAGTGGCATCCACTGCCAGTCTCCACGGTCAACGGAAGAAAATGTGTCCAGTCATTCAGAGACTGAAGATATCATCGACTTAGTACAGTCAACACCTGAGAGCAGTGACCATGAAGGCCCTCCTAGCAGAGATGCAGAACCAGGTAGTAGTCTTGCTTGAAAGTGTGGTTTTCCCTTTGACCTAGCCCTGGCGTACTCCAGTTCTCAACAGAAACAGCTAAAGAAATCACATACCTTCCTTACTATGTCAACATGAATCTGTTACACATCAGGAGCTCGAAGGGCTGTGATTGACTTGGGATTTCTGAAATTCTTGCTGTAACTGTAACTATTTGGGTGTTTTCTCATGGAGGTCATGCATATGATTAAGTTGTTGGATTGCTGTTTCAGTCCCCTGCTGGGTGAACGAGTTTTAACAGAACTGGGTATTATGCAGAGTCATCACAGCAAGGCAGACTTGTGCTTATCCATGCAGGCACGCTCTGCTTCTCCCTAAGACCTCTTAAGACTTTCTCTAAGAGTTTTAAGATAGCAGATTGTTTGTAGTGTTACTTTGTGTGGCACTGAAAGGCACATGATCCTATCAATAAGTTTGTGACAAGGTTGTTTTTTTCACCCTGTAGAGTTTCCTCTCTCTGTTTTCAGAGAATGGATTTATCAGCTGGTACCTGCAGTGGGATGTAATGTGTCCTCACGAGTTTTAACAGAACTGGGTATTATGCAGAGTCATCACAGCAAGGCAGACTTGTGCTTATCCATGCAGGCACGCTCTGCTTCTCCCTAAGACCTCTTAAGACTTTCTCTAAGAGTTTTAAGATAGCAGATTGTTTGTAGTGTTACTTTGTGTGGCACTGAAAGGCACATGATCCTATCAATAAGTTTGTGACAGGGTTGTGCATGGCATGTTGGTTTTTTCACCCTGTAGAGTTTCCTCTCTCTGTTTTCAGAGAATGGATTTATCAGCTGGTACCTGCAGTGGGATGTAATGTGTCCTCCCCTGGCTGTTATAATAAAGAAGAATTGCATAACTCGTACAGTCCCCTGGCTGTTATAATAAAGAAGAATTGCGTAACTCTTACAGAAAAAAAATTAGCCCATTGAAACACAGTAAAGCAGATGGTGAATGAATGGCAGAAAGAGATCTTCTAGTGAACGCATTGTATATATGGTGATTTGAACTATGGCATCGCCTACAAGATGCCGTTGCTGGGAGTTCAGTTATAGTTTCTTCTGGCAACGTGGGCTGAGTTAGAATTAGGAAGTTTGGGGGAGGGGAGTACTGATTGCTTGCTAATCCTAGGTGAAAGAAAGCCTTGTGTTCTGCTCATTGTATTGTGTTCTGACATTATTGCTGCTTTGTCTTTTCAAGTGTCAGATGCTTCCTGGAGAAGTGAGAGCCCTAAGCCAGCTGTACCTGTACCCGCTGATCTTCCCCCGTGCCCCCCGGTACCACCACCGTCGAGCTCTGAGACGCTTCCCCTCCCTCCTCCACCACCTCCTCCTCCAGTGCAGCACCCAAAACTGCTTCGCTCGATCCCCACCCCGCTCATCATAGCCCAGAAGATGTCTGAGCAGCAGATGGAGGGCAGGGCCCGCTTCCCCAGCGCCCTCAAGGAGGGGAATTTGGACAGGAAGAAGACCCCCGTAGCCAACGGTAACTCTTCTGCAGCTCTGAAGCACCCTCCTGCACCCGCACCCAAACTGCACCGCTTCCCCAGCAACATCAACATCACAAATGTCAGTGGCAAAGAATTCAACGAGACTATTTCAAAAGCAGCCGTTAACGTCCAGGAGCGGAAAGCCCAGGTGCTGGCCAACATCAGTGGAGGAGCTTTTCTGGCACCTGATCTGGAGGAGAAGCTGCAGAAAAACGATTTCTTGTCCCGTAACAGAAGTTCTTCCTTAAGGGATCTTTCCTCTGAGCAAACGCGATACGAGGCCCTGACAAAACTTGGCCTAGTTAAGGGAAAGCCAGCTCAGGACCAAGTGGACCATGCCCCAAGCTCTCAGCAGCTTGATGTGCAGCCCAAAAAGGCAGACGCTGTTCCCAATGGATATCAAAACATCCATGAGATCCTAAAAAGCGAGCCCAGCCCTTTCCTTCCTATGGGCAAAACTGTAACAATCAAACCAGAGGTAGCTCTTGCTGCTAACAAGGTCAGCAGCGGGCAGCAGAACACACCAAAAACCATTAATGATTACAAACAAGCCAGTCTAAACCTGGATATGAGGAGGAGGTCAGGTTCTCTGCCTAGACCTTCAGGATTTCGATCCCAGGGGATAACAGTAAAGTTTTCTGGCCGGGGCTCAACAGAAGAAGCGAGGAGAGAGGCGCTTCGGAAACTGGGGCTACTGAAGGAGACTGCGTAATTCGGATGGGAAGGTTTTGGTAACTGGGTGGAAGTCGTAGCGTGGCTTTGTGCTGGAATTGTCCCGACAGGATTGGGATCAAACAAACTGGAAGACGAAAGGGGAAGTTCTCTGTTTCTGACAAGCTAAGGAGGTACTAGACGCTGTGGAATGACCACTCGTGTTCATCCCAGAAGGACTGACATGGAGAGTGGTGGGTTTCGGCTCTCCTTCCTACAGGGATACTCATCTGTTGCTCTTTGTGACTAAGAGGAGTTTTATTTAAGTAACGCTGAACTGTAGCAGGCAGCGTCTTGTGAATGAAGTGTACAGAGCAGTATTGTTGTACATAGCAAACTGAGGGGCGAATCTGCTGCCTTTTTCGCTCTTTCTGAAGCCAAAAATGAGAGCTCCATTTGTCTTGCCCACATGTGTATGTCTGTTCCTGGGAGCTCGAGATAATGTCCAAACTGAAATTTCTGACCAGCGTGAACACGCTGCTTGTTGTTTTTTTTTTGTTGTTGTCTGTATTATCTGGCTTGGCTTCGTTCCCCCACCACCCGTGGTGGAGTCCTCCTCTTCCTTGTGGTGTCCCCGTTGTCTGTATTATCTGGCTTGGCTTCGTTCCCCCACCACCAGCGGTGGAGTCCTCCGCTTCCTTGTGGTGTCCCCCACTCAACTCAAGACTGCCCAGAGGCTGGTTTCTGGGGTGACCTTCTCTTTGAGAGAGCAGCCCAAGCTCTGAGCGGGTGACTGCGTCACGGCTGCTTCCCTTGAAGTCTCACCTTTCTTCCCAGCCACCTGCTTCTCGCTCCAGCGACCTCCTTGTCCAGTGATGGACACCAGAGAAGCCTCAAGGATATGCACCACACACCGGTTTTTCGCACTGACAGCCAAAGAGTCTCCTGACAATCTGTGACCCCACTGTTCTGTCCCAGTGACCACCCCAGAGCAGAGAAGCCATAGAAACAAGTCAACTTCGTACCAAATGTATAAACCTTCTGTCAAAAGGTTTTTACTTTAGGGTTCCTGTGAAGAAACTGTTACTTTTTTGAACAATAGCTGTACTACACTGCATAGTTGTAAGTTCTGTTACTTCTAAAAAAAACTGTCATTTGATCTTCCTTGTAGTTTTGACAGCCCTAATCATCCTCTCTTCACAGCCTTAGTTGGTTCTGCCCTGCCAATGCATAACTGAAGTTACAGCCAAAATTCCTGCCAGCAAAGCGGGGTCCCAGGAGAGCGCGGTGTGTGTAAGAGCACGTCACTCCTGAATGGTCCAAGTTGGCGTTATTTTGCCTTGGTTCAATAGACACGCTTTAAAAGATGGTCTCAAAGTATATTTGTGTGTTGGTATGATTTTTTTTTTTTAATCTGGCAAAGCTGCTCTTCCACATTAAAACTCCCTTCTCTTTTTTTGTACGCCTGAAAACATCAAGAATAGCCATTTTAGAATCAAATGCCAAACGCCAAACCCTCTAAATTTCTTGTTATTCCTGCGTGTTTAAGAGTTCTCAGTGTTTTGTTGGTTTTTTTTTTTCTAAAGGGAAAAACTCACTTATTCTCTGCACTTTCTAAAGCCTCGAGCAACCCCCTCTTTTTTTCCAAGTGGCTGAGTAATAAACCTTGGAGAGGAGGAGGGGAGCGGCTATAATAGAAACCGACACACCCTTCGGCGAGGAGCTCTGACATAACTGTGATAAACAAGTTTGTAGTTCTTGTGATAAAAGTATTTCAAACTTGCTGAGCTGTACTTGTAAATGAAGCTGTCGTGAAGCAAAAATCTTTGCCTCATTTTTAACCTGCCTCATAAGTTAAAGTTGTTTTTTTGTTGTTGTTGTGTTGTTTTTTTTTTTTAATTATCTGCTTGCTGCTTAAATTTTTAATTGTGTTGTTATGGTATCTGGCTGGTTCTGTTCTGTAGTTATTCTTCTCAAGCCTTTTCACTGGGTAAGCGATCCTGTTGCTCTTTGTGACAGGCAGACTATACATAAGCAATCGGTAATTAAAATATGTGGCCATTCCTGGGTCTGGCGAAGCACTTTGGCATGCATAATCACATGGGAGAAGTGCTGCTGACACAAAAAAGGCTGCTTGTGTGCTACGAGTAAAGCACAGGCTTCTTTTGCTGGGCTGAGTCTGTAACCCTAAATCAGAAAGACAAGGAAGCACATAAACCACATCCAAGCACCTGCCTCCCTGGAGCCTGGACTGGACCATCCCCACAGGTGGATGGTGTATCGTAATTTATTAACATAACCTGCTAAGTAAATTTAAATATTTCATGACCTTTGTGCTTTTAAATCCTGTTCAAGCAAATTCTTCATTATCAATGTGAAGTGCATACAAAGCAATCTTCACGTCTAAGCCTTTCTTGCCAGCTCTCCTTTGAGTTGTTTACAGCTGAGAGTCCACGCTAAGCAAACGGGAGGGGGAAAAAAAAAAACACCAAACCTGATGCTAATTCAGTCCTGTTCAATAACTCTGTAACATAACCTTATTTAAAAAAACAAAAATAAATTAGCTGTTTAATATCTGAAGTATAAAGTTGCAGTATGCTGAATTAGCTGGATCATGTTCTTTCGTCCTTTGTGCAGGGCTGCGTCCTCAACCGGTGGGAAGTGAGAGTTAGATCTTCATTAGATAAACCAATTTCTGCCCAGAGAGGACTTGGAACGAGGTATTCATTGTGGCCCTTCATTATAGCAATTATCCTACTGGTAAATTCTTCTCTGTGCCTAAAACTGTAGTAAGTAAAGCCATGTACTAAATGAAGTTAAGAGTCTAGCTGCTAATTACCTGTATATAAACTTAGCTCTATTTTGTGTATCTTGTTTTGTGTGTATATATTGTTGTGATTTTATTTTTTTTTTTCCCCTTGTGTTAGAGGTAACTGTCTTGCACAAATCTGATAAATCATCTATTAAACTGGGATAAAACCAATGAAACGATGGCAGATGGGAGGTGGAATTTTGTTCTTTGTCACCCAATAGCATGTACCTTTCTCGGAGGAGGGAAGGGATTTTATTTAATGGCCAGTATCAATTTAACAACTTTTTCTTTTTGCAACTGTGTGTGTGTGTGTGGGCAGAGCTCAATCCTGTCACACCAAGAGGGAAGGAGGGGGGGGAAAAAACCCCACAAACAAAAAAGAAAGGAGGATTATGTGTGTCTTCTGTAAAGAGATGTGTATTCTCATTGTTTGGCTTCAGGAACTGTGACCAGGGTCCTTGCAGGAATCAAGTCCATCCTGAACAGTGTTTGAAGTAGGTAAAAGCACCCCCCGCCAACTCCCAATATTTTTGCAATATCAAAATGACTTTTCCAAGAGGAATTTTGGACACATGGAAGAATAGTAGTAACTTACCCTTGTGTCCCCATGGCTGCCTTCCATGGGTGTTACCATGAGAGAGTCTCATTCTGCTGAGCGTAGATGTCTGTCTTGTTGCACTGGACAAAGTCCCCTGTCAGAGGATGTTCCTCCCCATCCCTTCTGAGACTGCTCAGGTGCTTCCAGCCAAGAAGTAGAGCTGCCTCTGACGTGTTCCTGCAGCTACTGCTGCTACCTGGAGTACAGGGGGGAAGGTTTCCCAACGAAATGGTGGTGCCTAAATCATCTTGCGCTGAGGCTTGTCCCGCTTCAAGTAGGGAAAGGTTTAGAGCCAAAACTAACAAACTCTGACTTGATAACAATGATGATAAAGCCCTCAGAAGAGCAGATGTTGAGGAACGAGTGGCTGTTTATCACTCAGACTCCCTCGGGCAAGGACTGCATGCAGTGCTTCAGCCCCTACTTCTGCATCCAGGCTGGAGGGTGACACCCCCACCCAGCTCATACCTGGGAGCCCTTGAACCAATTCTGCTGTTTTGAAGGTAGATTTTTTAAATATTTTTTTTTTTCGGGTGGTGGTGAGCATTTATGCAAATGTCGTGTATCATAAAAGATAAAATGGAAATCACTCTAGAAAAAAAATTAACTTCCATTTGCACGAGGTACTTTTTTATCCCCCAGGTAGTATGTTGGCAGTAGCCAAAAGCATCAGCAGGTCTAGCAGCCTGTCACAAAGCTTTCCAGGGCTGCCTCAGGGCTTGGGTACGTGTCCCAGCCAGGCCAGGGCAGGTGGCCACTCATAAGTGTGTCCAACTCCAGCCCGGAGCCAGTGGGAGAGAATTTAACTTGGCTCCATCTAGAATGAAACTTAAACGAAGTTATGGGGCCTCACCTTTGCTGTAGGGTAGAACCTCGCACAGCTGCCCAGTTCCCCTCAGCCCCGGTTACTTTCAAGTGGCTGCAGCTCTGGGAATAAGCTTTTGATGGTTTTGACTCCTCCTGTGCTTGTTTTATAAATAAAGCAAATAAATCTAGCTTCTCCCTTAAAAATAAACAGCTTGAGAAAGCGTTACCTGTAACTGATGGGGGAAGGCAGGAGGCTGATGGTGGATGATGGTTCTGGCCCGGCAGCTGGGGCTGCTTTTCTGTGCTGCTGGAGGCACAAACAGAAGGGCTGTAATTTACAGTGCTAACGAGTGACCTCAAAACTGGTTTGTAACTGAACCCACCAAGGTTAAAAATTACAGACCACGTTTTTCAGCTGCCTGGTGGTGTTGGTCATGGTTGTTCCTGGCAGAGCGGGAGCCCGGGGCGCTGCAGCTCCAAAGCCATGGCGAGTGGGGCAGTGAGGGTGGGGGCTTGCTGGGGTGGCAGCCACAGAGCCCAGCCCTGAGGTGTGAATGTATCGTACAAACCCTCAGCTTTGTGTGTAGGTTTTGAATTGGAGGTGTATCCCATGTGGCCCCCACGACTCTCACTTGTTCTCCATGGCTTGGACCTTGAGCCAAGGTGTTTTGGTGTCTTTAATAAGTCGGTGCTGAAAGATGGGGAGGGTGAACGTGAAGTGAGTGGAAAAACTTGGAAGTCTATTTAATTTACCTTACTTAAACGTATTTACCTCTAAATGTTACCTTTCCTTTGCTCTAAGGATCTGACAGCGAGGTGGCTCGGCTTCGTCTACCACCCTGCTCGTAGTATTTTGTGAGGTTATGAGCTTACATTCATGGTGGAACAGCACTGGCTGCAGGGATGGTGGCCACAGTCAGGCAGAGGCTGGTTTGAGGGGTGGCATCTAACCTTCGTCTACCACCCTGCTCGTAGTATTTTGCGAGGTTATGAGCTTACATCCGTGCTGGAACAGCACCGGACGGGGGGATGGTGGCCACAGTCGGGCAGAGGCTGGTTTGAGGGGTGGCATCTCACAATCACAGAATGCTATGAGGTTGGAGGGGACCTCTGGAGATCATCAAGTCCAACCCCCTGCCAAAGCAGGTCCACCCAGAGCAGGTTGCACAGGAACGTGTCCAGGTGGGTTTGAATGCCTCCAGAGAAGGAGACTCCACCACCTCTCTGGGCAACTTATTCCAGGGCTCTGCCGCCCTCAAAGGGAAAGAAGTTTCTCATGTTTAGGTGGAACTTCTTATACTCAAGTTTGTGCCCGTTACCTCTTGTCCTATCCCTGGGCACCACTGGAAAAAGACCAGCCCCATCCTCTTAGCACCCACCCTTTAAGTATTTATAAGCATAACACACTAATAAT